GATTACCCCAGTCACTGAATCAGTCCATCTCCTAGAGGGCCTTCCCCTCCTGTGCTGTCCCTCCACCCTCCCAAGCATGATGTCCCTCTCCAAGGACCTCTCCCTCCTTACAACATGTCCAAAGTATGTCAGACAAAGCCCCAGAGTCCTTGCCTCCAAGGAGCAGCCCGGTTTAATCCTTTCCAGGGTTAAACATGAAGTATATATAGTTACTATCAATTTAAACAACTTGATAGTAAATAATATGTGAACCTAATGCTATCTCACCTGAAAGTGCCACATTACTGAAAATTAGAATCAGAAATAATGGATCTGAAATACCTACATATTGTAGTCCTAATTACCTCAGATTCTTAAAAGTTGGTTCCTTTATAGTAATTGTCGTCTTCTGTCTATTATTGTTTGGATTGATAAGGGATGTAGCATTAAGTATAAGCAGTCTTGGGAAAAAAAGGTAAATTAGATATAACAAAGGTAGGGAAATGATGGTAGAATAAAATGACTTCTCAGAAATATTTTTTACTTAACAGGAATTTTTTTTTAAATTTAACAGGAATTCTAACCCCTCTAAAATGAGCACAAAAAAAAGCTCTTAACTTAAGCTACTTATCAAGTCAGATTTACCTTTGAGAAAATGTTATCCTGTACCGTCGGGTAACTGACTTTCCCCACTGACTTTCCCCATGGGCTTTCAGAGGCTGTTTAATTGCTTGGGAGGAGAGTGCTGATTTTTCTCCCACAGAGCAGCTAGTGGATTTGAACCGTGCCCCTCTGCAGCACACCTAAATGTTTTTTCCTGATACTTTCACTTCCAGACATTTTCATAGATAATATCATTTCAGATTAAATGTAACTTGCCTTCCCCATTAGAATGTAAGGTACGAGACCATAACGACTTGCTTTTTTAAAACTTGCTTTTCCAGGCCTTGCTGTAATTTTTTTTTTTTCTTATTTTTGTTACACTATTAGTTATTTGTTAAATTACTGGATGAACAAAATTATTGAAGCATATTTTACAGCTTTGCAATTTTCTCAAGATTGTTGTAAGACTTATTAGTTAACTTCATGTTGAGAATTTAAGTATTACATTTTCCTTTTTAACATTTAGAGACTTGAGTAGAGCACAATACTATTTTGGGATCTCTGGTATCATAGTGGCGAAAAGTGGTGCTGCAGTCTCAAAGGAACACAGTTCGAGGTCACAAGCTACTCCCCAGGAGAAGGATGGGCATTCTCTTCCCTTGCAGTTAACTGCCTCTGAAGACACACAGGAGAGTCAGCTAGGGGTTAGCTGTGGGTGGGTTCTGACCCTACAGTAAACAAAAACAACAATAGTAATACTTTAGCAGTTGAATAATAATATAAAATATTATTAATTTGAACAAGGGGTAGCATGCATCTTTGGGCTCTCCTATATTTTGATTATTAATTATTTTAAAATAAAAAATGGGATTTAAATTCATGGAAACCAGTCAGATTTTTATTTTAAACTTTTTTGATTTTTTTTATTAACCCACTCTACTATTCCTACATGAATGGAAATACTTTATATAATCCTTGAATTTTATTTAAGGTAGTTAAGGGTCGGTATTGTTTTTATTATCTTAAGTTTTATTTTAGAAATTGTGAAGTTAGAATATTTTTAACTAGCAGAAATCTGCAGATTTGCTGTGTAGCACAGTAAATGCCAACTCTAGAATTTATTTCAGAAATTTTTCATTATTAATATGTTAGTTATTTATTGTTGTGTACCAAATAACTAAAACCCAGTCATTTAAAAACCATAGATGTTTATTATCTTTACGCAGTCTTCTAGGGTTGGAAAAATGCTCAGGTTAGTTAGTTCTCACTGATAGTCTCAGGAAGTTGAAATCATTAATTGGTGCTGCTAACACCCTTGAATGTTTAGCTTTGGGTGGAGGATCTAATTCTAAGTTCACTTAGAGGAAGTCATTGGCTGCTTCAGTTCCTTACTGGCTGTGGGCTGGAGTTCTGAGATCTCACTGTAGGTATCTTCTGTAAGATTCTGACTGATTATTAAGACATTCAGAGCAGGATCTCTGGCTTTCCCTAGTGATACTGTTCAGTGAGAGAGGAAGAGAGTCCAAGTTGGAAGCTAGAGGCTTTTCTAACTTAATCTCAAGTGATGTACTGACATTTTACCCATATCCCATTCATTACTCAGTGGGGATCCTTTGAGGCTGTCTTGAAAACTGGCTGTGCAATTCTGAAAACTACAGCGAACAACCTTATTAAGAATCTTATTAAATACACTAGAATATCACCTTGTGCTTCATCCCAAACAGTATTTTTCCTTTTCCCATAAACAGTTACTTCTAGGATTTTTAGTTAGTTAAAATATCAACTACAGTGTAGTCTGTTTACTTAATTTTTTTCTTTTAACATGTAAAAATTTTTAAGCTTTAGTGAAATTGACAGAGCAAACCAAGTCTTCATTCATTCATTTATACTATTTCATGACATTGATTGCAAGCTATACACCGTAACAGTATTTCTTCCATCCTTCTCCTCGCATCTTCCACTATCACTCAAACCATCATTCTTTTTCCCCTTGCCCCCCTGTGCCCTATCCCAGAGCAGATACTGTGCCCAAGTCCTACAGGGCTGACATCTCCAGGGGGTGCACTCCACTAGGACTGCCAGGCATCCATACACTTATCTATCATCTGAGTGGATGACGTGTTATAAGAGTGGCTCCACCAGTCTCCATCAGACCAGCAATTGGTCATCGGACCGGTTGTTCATTCCCTGATTCAGAGTTTTGTTCTACTTCCCTTCTACACTCCATTAGGTGCTCCCTCAGGGCAGCCAGAAGTAGTAGCCAGGCATCATCCAGTTCCTCTGGCCTCAGGGACATGGAAATTTAAATTACATAAATCATTACTTCTTTCAACTAAGAGTGATTATTTTCACTCTTTTATTCTTAATGGACAAGATCAATAATTGCTCTTTAGATGACCACTTGAAAACTATCAATATCTCAGTTGCTACTCACCAAAGGACATGGAGTTAATTTTAATTTTTCCTAATTTCTCATTTATAGTAAATCCCATGTGATTTACCTTCTCTGAAAACCCGCTGGAGGGTCCAGTATGGGTTGGTTCCAATTCATCAGTACTCACAACAATAGATGTACATTAGTGTCATCTGCTTACTGACTTTGTGTGTGTGTATGTATATGTATATATTTTTAATGTTGGTTTACAATTGAAGTCATATACATTGTGTTTTGTTTAACTGCCTGTATATTTGAGGAAGAAGAATATTTCAAACTGTTAATGATTGGTCCTTTTAGGAGCATCAGTAATGGAGGATGCAAAGAAAACTGTTCTTAAGGATAAACCAAGAACAACATTGATCGTCTGTCCACTTTCTGTGTTAAGCAACTGGATTGTAAGTCTGTTAAAACCCTTCAAAAGTAGACATTTTATTTGTCTTAGGAAATAGAAAGTGTTCTGCTAAAAAGTTATTTGGAAATATGATTGGTCAGCATTTTGTATCTAAGCTGTAATAGGGGAATTGGAATAATAGTTGCTGAATTGGACTTGTTGCTCTTTGAAAATGTGTAAAGTAAAAGCATTAGTAATTGATATCTTAAGATTTATGGAGTTCAAGTGGCTTAGTGGTAAGAATTTGCACTGCCAAGCCAAAGGTACGTGGTTCTAATCCATCAGCTGTTTTGTGGGAGAAAAACTGGCAGTCTCCTTCCAAGCAGTTTACTGCCTTTGAAAATCTGCTTGAGGATCAGTTCAGAGTCTTCTAAGATTTGATGGCTCAACAACCACCACATCTGCAGTTTATACCCACCAAAGTGAGAAAGCCAAAAAAATTACATTTCTTTTAAGCAAGTGTTATGCAGATGACACAACCCTGCTTGCTGAAACTGAGGAGGACCTGATGTACTTGCTGCAGAGGGTCGAGGACTGCAGCTGCAGCCTTGAGTGTGGATTGAGGCTCAATGTCAAGAAGACAAAGATTCTCACCACTGGACTAATTGGCAACATCAGGATAGATGGTGAAGAGATCGAGATTGTTCACAGCTTTTGTCTGCTTGGCTCCATGGTCAACACTCTTGGCACCAGCAGCCAGGAAATCAAAAAACGTATTGTGATGGGAAGTCTGTTGTTAGGGACCTCTCCAGGGTACTGAAGAGCAATGGTGTCACTCTGGAGACTAGGGTGTGTCTGATACAGGCCATGGTCTTTGGAATCATTTGTTATGCATCAAAGAGTTGGACAGTGACTAAGGAAGATAGAAGGAGAATTGATGCCTTTGAGCTGTGGTGCTGGAGAAGAGTATTGAATGTACCATGGACTGCCAAGGAAACAAACAGATTCATCCTGGAAAGGGTTAAACCAGGCTACTCCTTGGAGGCAAGGATTCTGGAGCTTCATCTGACATGCTTTGGACATGTTGTAAGGAGGGACAGGTCCTTGGAGAGGGACATCGTGCTTGGGAGGGTAGAGGGGCAGTGCAGGAGGGGAAGGACCTCTATGACGTGGATTGATTCAGTGACTGGGGTAATCGGAATGGGTGTGTCAGAGGCAGTGCGATTGGCACAGGATAGAGCAGGGTTTAGGGCTATTGTACATAGGGTTGCTATGAGTCGCAAGCGACTCGACAGCACATAACAACAACAACAACAAAGCAGTTCGGAGTTTGGTTTTTTGGGGTTTTTTTTGCTTCTGTCTCTTCAGAGATTTTATCATTTATTCCTCAGTACTTTTCATTTTTCCAGGGAACCATATTGAAACAGGTAAAATAACTCACCTAAGGTCATCACAAAGGAGCTCTGGTGGCCTAGTGGCCCAAAGGCACATGGTTCAAATCCACCAGCTGCCCATGAAAACCCATTCGAAGGTTGGTTCTGACTTGATCATCACAGCAACAATAAGATCATCTCACATACTTGGGTGTTTTGCTAGGAGAGGCTATTCCTTGGAGAGGAACATCATGCTTGGGAAGGTAGAGCAATGACAAAAGAGAAGACCCTCAAATGAGTGAGTTGGTGTAGTGACTGCTGCAGTGGGCTCAAGTCTGGCAGAGATTGTGAGGATGGCACAGGCTAGGACATGGTTCCGATTGGATGCTAATTCATAGTGTCACGATATCATCCAGTTACTCTTCAGCAGTCTGACCTTAGACTTCTAAGACTACCCACTAGAAAATTTTTTGCTACCAGATTTTATTCCCCCCTTTGTTACGTGGCTCCATTTCCTTCCTTGTTTGATTTTTTAAGCTTCATGTTAGTAATGAAATAATAATTGCTGGAAACAGTATGAACATGAAGGACCCTGGATTGTGAACTTTTCATTCTTGCTGCTTCCGTGCTTGCCTGTATCTCTATAATATTGCCACCTCTTTGTAAGACCGGTACTACATTACCCATAGAGTATATTTCTTCCTGTCTTTGCTTGGTACGTTATTTTTTCTTTACCTAATTTAGTAACTTGGTCTCTGTCACTAGGTTGGTTTGTTTTTTTAATGAAATATACTCTTTAGTTTTAATCTTTCTTTCATTATATGTGCTTGTTTATTAATTTCAACAAGAAAGTACTAAAAACTTTAGTGTTTTTTCTGATTTTCTCCTTTGCACTGAATTGGAATCCACTAATATCTGAGCCTGCATTGGTCTTTTAAGGCTCTAAGTCACGTGGAAGGAGATTGCCCGTCTTTGTTCTGTGGAGCTGCTGGTGGAGTCAAACTGTGGAGAGGCAAAGCACCCAGCCTTTGATTAGCAGTGCAGTTCCCTGTGGACTGCCTGAGCAGAGCTCCCTTTTCCTGACTAGTATGGCTTTTTTTCTCTTAAGACAAGATTGAGTTAGTTACCTTTTTTGTCATTCTGACCAAATTATGGTCTTCAATTTGGTATGTGGTCAATCATAAGACACATGGGAACGTAAGTGGTAGTTGTGTAATGAGATTTCGAGATATTAATGGAGGCAGAAATAACATAATTTTTTATAAAAAAGAATAATTAGTATTCTCTTAATTTTATTTGAAAATAGGTTTTTTTCATGTAAAACTGACTAAAATAATGGATACAATCTTATATATTGTGGCTTTTATTAGGTACTGTTGAATCCTTTCTGACTTATAGCTACTCTGTATACTAGAACAGTTCTTACTTGAGTCAATTGTTTTAGCCATTCTGTCAGTCCACCTTGTTCAGAGTGTTCCTCATTTTCACTGACCTTCTACGTTACCAAGCATGAAGTTCTCTAGGGGCTGGGCCCTCCTGATAACATGCACAAGGTATGTGAGATGTGTGTGGTCTCACCATCCTTACGGCTTCCGAGACTCAGCGCACTTCTTCCAAGATTTGTTTGTTCTTTTGGCGGTCTGTATTCTTTGCCAACATCACAATTTAAAAGTATCAGTTTTTCCTTTTCTTACTCATTATTCACTATTCCACATGCTTATAGGACATAGAAAAGGCCATTATTTGGGTGAGCTGCACTGAAGTCCTCAAAGTGACGTACTTTTTGAGCGCTTCAGAGAGATGTTTTGTTGGCTGATCTGCCCATTGAATATACGTCATTTGATTCCTTGACTGCTCCTTGCTTGGGTGTTGATTATGCCAAGAAAATGAAAGTCCTTGGCAGTTTTGAACTTTTAGCCCTTTATGTTATTGATCCAGTTGAGGATTTTGGTTTTTTTAATGTTGAAAAGTGTAGGCCACATGATAGGGTATTTGATCTTCTCTCTCGAGTGCTTCAAGTCTCTTTGTTTTTAGCAGGAGTGTGTCATCTACATGTTGCAGGTTGATGATCAGTTTTTCTCCATTCCTGATGCCATGTTTTTCATATAGTCCAGCTTCTCGGATTATTTGCTTGGCATACAGACTGGATAAATGATGAAAGAATACACAGCTCTGGCAAACGCCATTCTAGATTTTAATCTATGTGGTATCCTCTTACGGTATTTGAACAGCTGCTTCTTGGTGCATGTACAGGGTCTGCACGCATCTGAACTGTTCTGGGATTCCTGTTCTTCACAGTGTTAACTGAAATTTGTTATGATCATTGTAGTCATGCATTTGCATAGTCAGGAAAACACAGGAGAACATTTTTTGTGTGTTTTCTGTATTCCATCTGATGGCAGAGGTGATAAAGCCCTTGCCCTAGCTTGAATCTTGTTTGTTTGTGTATAATCATTCATATACATTGTGTTTTGTACACGTACATATATTTTAGATAATTACCATTGCTATGCCTAGTATCACACCATCTTTTCAAGCCCCCATTAAACCTTTTTCATTACTTCACCCCCTCAGTAACCTTTGCTCTCCCAAAGATTTGCCCCTTCTCCTTTTTCTGTCCCCTTTCTCTCCTTTCCTTCTAAACATTTATACATATCTTCATTATCTTCCTATTTTCACCTTCGTGACCTTATTCAGTGTTTGTCCTTATGTGACTGAAATATTTCAGCAAAATGCTCTCTAGTCTTTCCCAAGTTAGAGTATTTTACAGAATTGTTATTCCTTTCATGCATTTCATGGAGTTGTACGGCTTTAGATATTTTTCTGTAATCTGCAGTTGGAATGTCCTTGTAACTTAATGGTGTTATTCAATTAATTTCTTCATTCTACTGAATCACTTTTTGGAATTGGCATAAATAAGCCTCTCCCAGTCAGTTGGCCAGAAAGATAACTTCCAAATTTCTTTGCATCGGCAAATGAGCACATCCAGCTCTGCATCTTTTTTATTGAAACATTTCTGTTGGAAGTTTCTTAAATTTTTGGAGCCTTAAGATTTTGCCAGTGAGTCCTTAACAACTTGATTTCTTTAGTTACTACTGGTTCTTTTTTTTTTCTTTTTAATACGAATTTAGTACTATTGGTTCTTGATCATATTCTCCCTCCTGAAATGCTTGTGTGTTGAACCACTTTTTGTTGCAGTGACTGCTTCCTGAATTACTCAGTTATTTTCTGTTGTAACTTGAGGCTTTAATTTTTTCTTCAGTACTTGTAGATTGAGAAATTCTGAGTGTGTTCAGTGTCAGCTAATTATTTTTTGTACTATGGTTCTGAGTATTTCTTCTAGATTTTCTTGATTCTTCTTGCATCATTCCCCCCCCCCCAAATTCATTTTGTTATAATACTTTGTCTTCTTGAGCTGCCCTTTGAAAATATACATTAATACCTCTTATAACATTGCTGTAAATTGCACAGGAGGAAATTACCCGTCTTTTTTTCCTTTTAGCTTCTAGTAAACTTGAACCCCAGAGCTACTTGGCCTTTGGATTAGCAGTACTACTCCTAAGGACTGTACTACCAGAGCTCCCTAAGGTGGTGGTGTAATTCTTGTGTATATGTCACCTTTCCTGATTTGTTGTTGTTATGTGCTGTCGAGTCGCTTGTGACTCATAGCGACCCTATGTACAACAGCCCTAAACTCTGCTCTGTACTGTGCCAATCGCACTGTCTCCGATACACCCATCCCCGTTACCCCAGTCACTGAATCAGTCCACTTCATAGTGAGTCTTCCCCTCTTACACCATCCCTCCACCCTCCCAAGCATGATGTCCCTCTCCAAGGACCTGTCCCTCCTTACAACATGTCCAAAGTATGTTAGACAGAGCCTCAGAATCCTTGCCTCCAAGGAGCAGCCTGGTTTAACCCTTTCTAGAATGATAATCTGTTTCCCTAGCAGTCCATGGTACCCTCAGTACTCTTCTCCAGCACTACAGCTCAAAGGCATCAATTCTCCTATCCTCCCTAGTCATTGTCTGACTCACTGATGCATAACAAGTGATTACAAAGACCATGGCCTGTATCAGGCGCACCTTAGTCTCCAGAGAGACACCGTTGCTCTTCAGCACTTTGGAGAGGTCCCTAACAGCAGAATTTCCTGTGACAGTACGTCTTGTAACAATAGTTACTATTATTATTGTCATTATTACTCTGTGGTTTAGATTACAAGAAACTTGACCTTATGTAATTTTAGACAGTATTGCTAGGACACTACTTCTTGTAGAATTAAGTACGCAGTAAGGTTTCATAGGCTGTAATCTTTAAAGGAGAATACTGACAGATTTTTACTCCTTTAAAAGAGCTGATAAGTTTAAACCAATGTTATTTAGGTTTGCAGCCAGATACGAACATGTTATCAATGGTCCTCCTGTTTCTAACAGTACATATCAAGTTGGGTTTTTTTGTTTGTTTTTAGGATCAGTTTGGACAACATATAAAATCAGAAGTTCACTTGAATTTTTATGTTTATTATGGTTCTGATCGCGTTAGAGACCCTGCTTTGTTATCAAAACAGGATATCGTTTTGACCACCTATAATATTTTAACTCATGACTATGGGGTAAGTATGTCTGTGCTAAGATATTTTTAAAGATTGACTTTAAAAATATACTGTAAATCTAAAATGTTCTAAAATTTAGACTGTATTTTATCTTCTTTTTGCATCTTAAAAATACTTAGTGTATATAGAAAATTTCAACCTGTATGCAGAGCAGATTATCCGAGAGGCAGGGCTATATGAGGAGAAATGTGGGGTCAAGATTGGTGGAAGAACTATCAACAATCTGCGTTATGCAGATGACACAACCCTGCTCGCTGAAACTTAGGAGGACCTCATGCACTTACTGCAGAGGGTCGAGGACTGCAGCCTTCAATATGGACTGAGGCTCAGTGTTAAGAAGACAAAAATTCTCACCACTGGAACAATCGGTAGCATCAGGATGGACGGTGAAGAGATTGAGATTGTTCACAGCTTCCGTTTGCTTGGCTCCACGGTCAACACTCTTGGCACCAGTAGCCAGGAAATCAAAAAACGTATTGCGATGGGAAAGTCTGTGGTTAGGGACCTCTCTAAAGTACTCAAGAGCAACAGTGTCTCTGGAGACTAAGGTGCGCCTGATACAGGCCATGGTTTTTGCAATCACTTGTTATGTGTCAGAGAGTTGGACAATGACTAGGGAGGATGGAAGGAAAATTGATGCCTTTGAGCTGTGGTGCTGGAGAAGAGTATTGAATGTACCATGGACTGCCAAGAAAACAAACAGATTCATTCTAGAGAGGGTTAAAACAGGCTGCTCCTTGGAGGCAAGGATTCTGGGGCTTCGTCTGACATACTTTGGACATGTAAGGAGAGACAGCTCTTGAGAGAGGGACATCATGCTGGGTAGAGTGGAGGGACAGCACAGGAGGGGAAGACCCTCTATGAGGTGGATTGATTCAGTGACTGGGGTAATCGGGATGGGTGTGTCAGAGGCAATGAGATTGGCACAGGATAGAGCAGGGTTTAGGGCTGTTGTACATAGGGTCGCTATGAGTCGCAAACGACTCGACGGCACATAACAACAACAACATATAGAAAATTAATAGAAAATATTTAACAGTTTGGAAAAGTTGTGCATTATATATTTAGAAATGTTTTTATTTAGAACATTTAAGATAATATTAAATTCTTAAAACTGTTTAGCAATTTGTGAATGAATTGAATTGTTTTCAATACTCTGAGAAATTGCTTTCTATATTAGTTGTTTCATTTACGAACATCTGAAAAATGAGCTTTATTTGGCTTTAGTATATGACTTTTCTAACTCTTCCAGCGGTTTAATTGTTCATCTAAAGTACTAAATTAGAACTGTTTTCAAAATACCTTTTTTGTCAATATTAGTCTCTAATAAGGATATTACCTTTTCTATTAAAGAAAGTGGTATTATTTTATTGCAGTAATTCCTAGAACTAGTTTTCAGACAAGTCCTGTGTATTAGTTTGATCCAGGTTGCCATAGAGTAGACTACCTTCATGTTAATACTATCTCTGCCACTTCAAAAAGACCTGCCCCACAGCTTCTGAGTGTGCTGATTCATTACTTTGTGCATCTTCTTTAATGTTGTGGTGCATTAAGTAGGTCGGATTTCCTTATTTTTAAGGTATATAATAGTAGTATTCTCTTTATAAGTTTCTGAGCATTTAATGATGTGTATTTGATATTTATGTAGTGATAGCTATTTTTATATGTTTTATATATACCTTCATGTCTGTTTAGTCAATGTGCATTTCTCATTCATGGAAAGTGCTATCCTAGTGTTATTAAAGTATATTAACTATTGTAAATTACAGTAAGCTTTTAAAACATTCTTTTTAAGTAGTTCCTGTGAATCATTTATTCCAGACTAAAGGGGATAGTCCGTTACATAGCATCAAGTGGCTGAGAGTGATCCTGGACGAAGGGCACGCCATACGCAATCCAAATGCTCAGCAGACGAAAGCTGTCCTTGATTTAGAAGCAGTAAGAAGATGGGTACTGACAGGTAATCAGTCATACCTTTGAACTTTTAAAAATGGACTTCTTCAAAAGGTAGTATTAAGCAAGTTAGTGAAGTAATTTTTTGCAAGGTGTAAGTGAATATAGGCTTTGCCCTCAAATTAATCATAGAACGTAATAGAAAATTTTCACTTTGTTTTCCCTAAGTGCCCCTGATAAAACATTTACTGTGTATAGAATTATTCTCGAACTTGAGAGACTCCGTTGATATTTCTCTAATTGGCTTCATGGGAGAAAGGAAGGCTGCGTCTAGACAGCCTCACAGGGGTTTGCCTTTAACTCCATTGCAGTGGGTTTTACTATCATGTAGGAGTCCCTTTTAACACCTCTTCTAGAAGGTACGGAAGAGAATATAAACTCAGATTTCTTTTCTTTATGATGCTGTTGATTTAATAACCAGTTAAGCAAATGGACTTCTTTATTAATAAAATTTTTATTTTATACTGGTTTACTTACAAAATTCTTTTTTTTTTTTTTCATTTTCTAAATTGGTTATATTTGCACCTTCAAACACAAAATCTTTTTTTTTTTTTTTTACCAAATGATATGGAAAATGGATACATTTTTAAATGAAATTCAGTTTAGCTGGGATTAAAAGAAGCCACAGCACTAGCAATATTATTGCTGGTCTCAGATGGATCCTGATTGAAAGTTGAGAATATCAGAAGATGTCTATTTGTGTATTCTTGACTATGCCAAGATATTTGTGTGAACCTAAAAATAATGGCTAATATTGAGGAAAATGGAAATTTCATAACAATTAATTATACTCCTACAAAATCTATTCTCCACAATGTATAGCATCTACAACGCAAAACCAGTTCCCATGAGGTCATAGATGTCACACATTCTCCTGGACCTCTTTCTACTCATCCCGGTAGCAATATTATTACTTACTGGGTTTAAAATCAATTGCAATAGCTCACAGATCATACAGAACCATATTGAGGAAGTTAAAAAAAACAACCCAACACACCAAAACTATAATTCAGGTTAGTAGCACAATGTAATCACTCAGTCAGGACAGCTTCCAAAATGTGCTCACATGCACCTTTGCACCTTGCAGCTTTAGCCTGTTAGTCCTACAAATTATGGCTCCACCAGCCCCTTTCCAGTCCTCCAACAAACTTGGTGTTTTGCGGTTTTTTTAACCTATAGTTTCATGGTACAGCATTCACAAGATTAGATCGATCTCATGTCAGGATTCTGATTCTCTCCTGCTGTATTTTGTGACTGCTGTTCTTGTAGGCCCTGGTCTGACTGGCACAAGAATCTCTGGCCCTGGATGCCATGCTTCATTACAAAATTCTTTTACGTTGTTTTTCAAACCAGATCTTTTCCATTTCTTGCAAATCGACTTAAGAAGAAATTTGATTTCTTGAGTAAAATTAGGAATTTAAGTCTGTTTTTGTTAGTATTGTCCCCTGAGAGCTGAAATTAGCATCAGCCTATAGTATGAAATTGTATATCTGTTTGACAAGAGATTATAGTTAATAGTCTCATGTACCTTTAACATGGAGCCAATTTTCAGATGATATCATCTCTGATTGGGCCAAATGGAAATTCCGGTTTGATACTTTGGTAATAACAGTTGCCTGTAATTTTTTTTTTAGGTACTCCAATCCAGAATTCCTTAAAGGACTTGTGGTCTCTTCTTTCCTTTTTAAAACTTAAGCCGTTTCTTGATAGAGAATGGTGGCACCGAACGATCCAGCGTCCTGTGACGATGGGGGATGAAGGAGGCCTGAGGTAAGTCATTTCATGATGGTTGACTAATACCAGCTACTGGGAGCTGTTAACAGCAGCTTGTATGGAGAGCCATTTTCATTAGTGTTTTTAGTATTGGCTTTTTGTTCTAGAATGTGTTCATGGCTTAGTGCCTTTGACTCTGATAATCTGCTGATTTTTGTTTGGAGGAGACAAAGATTTCTAGTTATCACTAAAATGTAAATATTTTCCTTTCACTGGTTTATGTGTGTGGCTGATGTCTCATAGCTTTGTAACTTCTCTTCTGTAACTTTATGTGAATGATTTGATGTATACTTATTTCAACAGTTTCTTTTTTCAAATTTTTATTATTTTTTTTAACTAACTGTTGCACTTTTTCTACCTCCCACCCTGATTTCAACAGTTTTTTAAAGAGTAAATCTTAATGATAAGTGATGATAGATCAAAGTTGATTGTGGCTACTTCGTAAGACATTAAACTGATGTGATTAAAATTTCCCCCCATAGAGCATTGATTTTTAAACTAGGTCTTTAATCCATTGTTGTTGTTATGTGCTCTTGAGTCCAAACCAACAATAACAAGGACTGTCATTTAAAATAAAATTGAGTAGAGAAGATGTATCAATGACCATCATTTATTTATTTTTAATTTTTATTATTATTAGTGTGTGTGTGTGTGTGTGTGTGTGTACACCATCAAATCAGATTTGACTGGTACAGGAGGAAATTGTTCCTCCTTTTCCAGCAAAGCATCTGGTGGATTTGAACCGCACACCTCTGGGATTGCAGTGCAGCGTCTTGCCACTAGGCCACCAGAACTCACCGATGACCATCATTTAAAATAAAATTAAGTAGAAAAGATGTATCACTTATAGTAGAGAGAGAATTTTCGGAAATGTTTGTTTTTGTTATGTTTACTTAAGTATGTTTATCTTCTAGTTGGAATAAAAAGGTTTACTATCTTATTTTAGGATATTTGATTCTTACTTCTTCACTACCAGCTGCTTAAACAATTATTTTAATACTTCATTTCTTAAAGAATAGATATTCTCCTTTTTTTTAATGTTGAAAAGGATAATGTTGAAGAGGATATCAAATTTGGAAGACATTTCTCCCTCTATTCTTAAAATTTACATTTTCTGGATTTTTTTTAAAAGCACTCATTATATTATAAAAGTTACATATTTATGTATCTTCGTTTGCTTACTATTGTTAATAAGAAATATATTAATTATTATTATTAACAAAAATTCTTTAAGATAGAATCTTACTCATATTTGTATTCTTGCACTTTTACAAAGTGCAGTACCTTGCACTTGATTGGTAGTAGGAAGTTGAGTGCCAGGTGATCTAGAACAGAAAGATGTAAAATTAAAGTGTGACAAGTACTGAGAGGAGGAGGGATTTAGGGTACTTTTCTATGGTTTTTCTATTTGTAGACTAGTAATTATTAAGTTACATAAATAACCCATTTAAGGAACTGTAATCTTTACTAGATTTATGAAACAGCGACCAATTAAAATAGTCTCTTTTATTGTTTCAACTTTTATAGAATTAAAAATTTTATTATTATTTTATTTATTTTGACTAGACGTCTACAGTCCCTGATAAAGAAAATTACACTCAGAAGAACAAAGACAAGCAAAGTTAAAGGGAAACCAGTTTTGGAGTTACCAGAGCGTAAAGTATTTATTCAGCACATTACACTTTCAGAGGAGGAGAGAAAGATTTATCAGTCTGTGAAAAATGAAGGCAGAGCTACAATTGGAAGGTAAGGGGTGGTGGTGAAAAATGTAGGCTAGCAGTTGTGTGTGTGTGTGTGTGTTTTTCATTTAATGTAATAATATTTCTCAGGCATGCTATCAATAAAATTTGAAATATACTTAAGATAATTTAATTTGGTGATTAGAATATATTTAATAATGAATCATTTTAAGTATAAATGAAATAATACAATTTGTCAGTTAATTAATTCCTTAAAGTTAGTGAAAAAGGAAGTTTTTACATAAAATGACAGGTTCTGAATTGATAAGACATTACTTGCTTTCATTCTTGACTCTGCTCTTGTCTTTAGTTTCATGATTTGTGAAATGGGACTCTTAATTAGTACATTTAAAAATCTGTGTTAGTTTATTTTGAGGTATCATTTTGGTACTAAATTTTGATTATTAATGATTCAAAATAATTTGATAAAATGTAATTAAAATTCCTGATAAGGCAAGATCCCAAATCTTAAGTTCTAATATGGTAGAATTAAAATCCATGGAGACAAAGCAAAATACCCCAAATACAAAGAGAGATTTAAATGTATAGAAGAAAAACTGTTTCTGACTAAAACTGCTGGTAGAGCTTAATGGAAGAGGTGACTTATGCTATGTATTGAAGAGTACTTAAGATTTTGATAGATTAGAATGGGTAGTATATGAGAGATGACAGTTGATGAATTTTTAGGTATCATTTTAAGAAAGTTTAGTTGTATAATGGTGATTTAAAAAAATGACTTTTAGAGAGGCTGTTCTTCGGAGAGGGACTTTATGCTTAGAAAAGTGGAGGATCAGAGAAAGTGATGAAGACCCTCAACAGGATGGATTGATGACATGTCTGTTGCACTGGGCTCAAGTGTGTTAAAGAGGAAAAGCATGGGGCAGGAAAGAGAGGTGTTCATAGGGTAACCACTTGACTCACTAGCACTTAACACCACCATGTACTTTATAGTTCAGAGAATGCACATTCTTTTATTTCAGCTCTGTTGTCTAATGAAATGTGTTGTTGTTGTTGTTATGCACCGTTGAGTCGCTTGTGATTCCTAGCGACAAGAGCCCTAAACCCTGCTCTGTCCTGTGCCAACCTTACTGTCTCTGACACACCTACCCCCATTACCCCAGTTACTGAATCAATCCATCTCATCGAGGGTCTTCCTCTCCTGTGCTGTCCCTCCACCCTCCCAAGCATGATGTTCCTTCCAGGGACTAGTCCCTTCTTGTAACTTGTCCAGATTATATCAGACGAAGCTTCAGAATCCTTGCCTCCAAGGAGCAGCCTGGTTTCACCTTCTCCATATCATAGCTCAAAAGCATCAGTTTTCTTTCTATCATCCCTAGTCACTATCCAGCTCTCTGATGCATAGCATGCAATTGCAAAGACTATAGCCTGGATCAGGTGCACCTTAGTTTCCAGACTGATACTAGTGAAATAGGATAATGTTCTTTATAGTCATTTACTAAACTGGAAAGCCAGTGGCTGAATGGTTAGATTTTTCTAACTCAGGAGGTTGTTGTTAAAGGCCCTATAGTTGACTCCTCCGGATAGAGACCTTCTGTCCAACAGAACAAAGCCCTGCCTGATCTGTGCTGTCCTTATAACCTCTGCTGTGTATAAAGCCCTCTCCTGCAGTTGCTGTGTCAGTCCTTCTAGTCTAGTCCATCTAGGTCTTCCTCTCTTTCACTGACCATCTCCTTTCCAAGTGTCATGTCCTTCTTCAAAGACCACCCCATCTTAATATTATAACATGCCCAAAAGGAGAATTCAGAACAGAATCGGCCCAAATGTAGGAGGAGAATGAATTCACCAGTGTGGCTTCAATTAAGTACATACTAAGGAGGAGATAAGAAGATTGGAAGCAGGAGTGGCATCCACTTCCTAAACAACGTGCCTCTGGAACTCTGAACTTTGAAAAATGTCGATAGTTAGAGAAAGGCTTCAGGCTTTTTGTTCATGGAGTCGCTAGCAGTCAACAAGTGGGAGATTAGAATGTTAAGCTAAGTAGTCAGTGTTTTTCTTTCTGAGTTTTGCAGGATTTTGAGGCCAAGGAATGTTTTTAATCTGTGTTGGATTTTAAGAATGTAAAACTGATCGCCATGTCAGGGACAATTGCTACCTTCTTGAGTAAAGTGACCAGATCCTACAGAGTGGTTACAGCAAGATGCTAATGAGGACATTATCTACCCATGTGGGGACTGAATAAACGTATAGACCCAAGGTATCAGAATTTTGTCGTGAGGGGCATGAGCGTGCATTTAGTCTTAAAGGTGATGTCATAATCACTAACTTTATATGAAAAGGAGACAAACCCTGCATTAGTATAGTGCTACTAAAAAGGAAAAGAGAAGACATTATACCTCCTGTCTCAAAACCTGCTCACAGTCATGGTGATCAGAGCTGTGACAGATACATAGACCAGTGGAATGAAACTGAGAATTCAGAAGTAATTAGATTCACTGGAGTATAGTGGATCTTTAACAAAAGGTGAAATCTTGTCAATGGGGGATCTTTAACCAATATACTAGCAAAGCTAAGTGTCTGTCTGCAAGAAACAGAAACAGGATATTCATGCCTTATATCGTAAACAGAAGCTAAATCGGGACGAATCAAAGACCTTGGCATAAAACATGAAACGATAAAGCTCATCAAAGATGACATTGAGGCACACCGGTTACTGTGTTAGCACCTTGACTCTGAGTCATGGTGAGCCTGTGTCTAGTCTAGCGGCTCAGAAAGTTACCTGAGCCTGCACTGTCCTCACCGACGCTCCTAACGCTTGTTTCTGGCGGGGACTGTGTCAGCCCGTCCCTTTGAGGGTCTTCCTCTCTTTTGCCTACTGTCTCTCCCCGCCCCCCCCCAAGTCTGCTTGTTCCTGACAACGTGCCAAGAATTTATGCTTCCAAAGAGCTTTCTGGTTGCACGTCTTCCAAGACAGATTGGCCTGTTCCTTTGGCAGGCCTGAGTTCCTCCAAGGCAGAGTTGTCTGCTCTTTGGCCAGCAAAGGGTATATTCCGTACTCCGCCAACACTCCAGAGGCCTCAGTTCTTCATCTTCCTTATTTATGATCCAACTTTCTGAAGCCTACAAAGCAGTCGAAAACATTGTAGGTTGGGTCGGGCACACCTTATCTTTAAACTATATCCTTGCTCTTTATCATTTTAAAGAGATCTTTGAGAGATTTCCCCACTATACCATTGGATTTCTTCGTTGTTAGATTAGAGCCCCTACTATGTGGCATGGGGAGCTTTGATGGCCTAGCAGTAAGGAGCTGTGCTTTAAGTCCACCAGCGTCTCTGTTGGAGGAAGTTGGACATTCTCCTCTGGTGCCGTTTTCTGGCTCTGAAACCTGCTGGAGGGTCAGCTATGAGTCGATTCAACTTCAGAAGAAATGTCAAGCATTCGTTTCGAGATTGATAACTGAAATCTCTTGCTTTCCAAATCTTTCTTAGTCACACCAAATTAATCTATATGTTTTGAATATTCTACAAGTTTCTCAGTCTTACCTTTGCCTGCTTCTCATTCATTCTAGTACTAATAAGTCATTCATAGTGAACATTGTCCATGCACGCTTTACAGCTACCAATCCAGATTCTTTCAGTTTACTTCTTCAGTACCTATTCTCATATCCCTCGTTATTAAAGTCATAATGGCTAATGTCTCCATAAATACTGTCTATTTAGAATCTCTCTGCCATTCTGAATCCTTTACCTAACTCCCTTTTTAATGATGGTTGTCAGTCTGATCTAGCCACCTTAAATCATCACCTTTGTAGACATCTTTGTCTAATATTTCACTGATAATATTTCCTTCCACAATGAAGATCATTTTCCTATACCAATTTTCTTTATTCTGTTTTACATCTGTAGTGTCTTCTTTTAAAGACCCTTAAATAAAAACTATTGAAAACTTGATTCAGTAACCAACTATCCAGCCTACTACTCTCATACGGGGGATAAAAGCCTTTTATGTCAGATGTCATTCAGAAAGAGAAAACTGTGTACTCCTATATCCTCTCCAACAATTCTTGGATCATCGGAGAAACGCAGTGTCAGCATTGAAACCCAGACCAGATGTTTACTGTGGAACAGGCCATTAATTACTCAGGTGCAAGATTAAATTGAAGCTGAAGAAAATGAAAACTAATCCATAGGAAGCAAAACACAGCCTAGAGTCTGTTGCAGTTGATGTTAAGAATCATCTCAAGCACAGGTTTGGGGCGTTAAACACCAGTGCTGGAAAGCTAGAGGAGCTATGAGAGGGTGTCAGAGATCTCATCCATGAAGACAGCAAGAAGGTCATTACAAAGAAAGAGAAGGAAGAAAGAACCAGCATAAAGCTCAGAAGGGTCTGTGAAAATGACCTTAGAGGATCAGGAAGCCAAACCGAAAAGGAAAGATCTTGAAATAAAAGAAATCTTTGAAGATTTCAAAGAGCAGCTCATAAAGAATTGAAAAACAAATTTCAACCATGAGTTGTGGTATTGATAGATGCAATGGACAAAATCGTGTGATAGAAGAAGCATCAAAAGAAGATGGAAGAATACACAGAATCACTGTACCAAAAACTTTAGGTAGCTATTGTGTAGCTTTAATGTTTGCTGCCCTAGTTTTGGTTCCTTTCATCTTACAAATTTTTTCTTCACTGCTTCTACTTGGGCAATTTGTATGGTTCTATTACCTCTCTTTTCAGCATATCCTTCATACTTATTTAAAATATGTTTTCTGTGCTTGCTCTAAAGTTTACCATGTTCATTTCTAGTTAGTGTAAATCCAAATTAAAATAATACTATACTGCTTCATGAGTAGTAAAACCCACTGCCATCACGTGAATTCTGACTCACAGCACCCCCTGGTCAGGCTTCCAAGGCTGTTGATCGACAGGAGGGGACTGCCTACTCATTCCCTCCCCCACAGAGTGATTAGTGGAGTCACACCTCTCACCTGATGGTGTTAGTGCTGCTAGATCAGGACTGATTCCCAACTACCCACCCAGCAGAGTTTCAGAGACTTTCAGTGGCTCAGGAGGGGACTGCCCATCTTTCTCCTGTGGGGCACCTGGTGGAGTTAAACCACTTGCCTTTGAATTGGCAGCATAACTCCTCACCACTAGACCACCAGAGCTCCCTTGACCCAGCATATTAGATGCAACAGTATTGCAGTTTATTGTGTCCAGCTCTTTCAACGTTGCTCTCAGACACTTCATTTTTCCATAAGCTATAATCATTTTGGGTATTACTGCTATTAAACAATTAATCTAATCATTTAAGAATAAGAAGAATAAAAGATTTAATTATAAACTTACATTTTTCCTTCTTAAGTGCTTTTCCTTTTAGTAGTTCTGAGTGCTCTTCTCTGAAGAATTTCTTTTAACATTTAACATTTTTTTGCAAGACAAGAAATGGTTTAATGATGACCTCAGGTTTTGTTTGTCTGATAAAGTCATTATTTCTTCTTGAACATCTTCCTATCCAAATTTTAAATTGGCAAGCATTGCTCATATAGTTTACATCATTATTATAAATATTACCTGTTTTATTAAAGGTAGAGTTTGCTTTTCTGTTTTTCATTTTTATTTTGGAGTAATTTTGAAAGAAGAAAATTCCATTTCTTTGATTTTTTTTTTTTTTTAAGTAGGAAATAAGGTGTAGAGGTTTTTATAATATTGGGCAATTTTCTTTCTAGGTGTTTTAAAAAAAATATTTAGAGAGCATTTGATTTTATTATTCACCTCTTTTCTCCTTTTTTAATGTTAACACTTTTGAATGTCTATAAAGTTTCTTTTTCAAATAAGATCTCTTTTTCTTACAAGTCAACAGGATTATGTATAACTGCTTAGCAACATCACTAAACAAATTAGTTATCAACCGTAATTCAGATAAAGCATTTTTAACTTGCCTGCCAATGTGAACAATATTCTGTCAGGGACTTCTTCAAATTATTGAGGAGAGCAGTATTGTCAGTTTGAAGACCAAGGCACGCCTGATTTAAGCCACGACATTTTTCAGTCACTTACTAAGCATCTGAGGTTGGGTGGTGAATGACAGAAGAAGGATTGATGTCTTTGAGCTGTGATGGTGGAGAGGAGTCCTGAGTCTCACATGCGGCCAAGAGAACAGATAGTTGATTCTTGGATAAAGTGCAGCCAAGTACTCTTCAGAGGCAAGCATGGTGAAGCCTCGTCTCGGATACTTTGGGAATGTTGTTAGGAGGGACATTCCTGGGAAAGGGACACATGCCTTGGAGGGTCAGTGACAGAGAGGAATACTTCAGTAACTCTCAGTTCGATGATTGACAGTGACTATAGCAGTAGGCTCGTGTATTTCAGATATGATGAAGAGATCAAAGGATAGGACAGGACTGAGATCCGTTGATAGGGTCGCTGTGAGTCAACTCAAAGGCACCAAAGAACGACAAAATTGATAAAGCCTAGAATCAATAATTTCTGAGGTTTGGGGTTATTTTAACAAATCTTATACATTTTTGTCCATATTTGTGTGTGTATGTGTATGTGTGTGTGTGTGTGTGATTTTGACAAATGGTTACAGAGAAGTTAGATTTTCATTCATTCATCGTTGCTCATTTTACTCCCTCTGTCACCCTCTCCCAGTTCACTTTTTTTATAATTAGAATTTTTTAATTAAATTTTATTAATTTTAATGAACATTTACAGAGATTTTGGATTTCCATTCATTCATTGTTGCACTTTTTTCTCTACTTCCCCCAGTTCGTTCCTTCCCCCCCCTTGAAAGTCTGTTTTAATTGTCCCATTGCCACAGTGCTTGTCAAAACCAGTTCTGATTAATCTCCTTTGTCAGTGTGTCCTTTGACATTCCCTATCACTCCTCACTGAGAGAGAAAAGGGGACGGCGTTTTCTCTTAGCTACTTCCTGCTGAAAAGGGACGCTGTAGGTTTCAGGGTGAAGATCTCTCACTACTCTGAAGGGCCCCTTTGGCAATAGGAAACACGTAGACTATTGTGGAGATTGATTTTGGAATTTAGATGCGCTGTTGATCAATTGTGCTTAGCCATACATGTTCATATCCTTGAAGATGTATCATGGAAGTGTTGCAGCCTAGAAGACACATATTTAACTAATAAGTTAAAAGTGCATGAGTCAAAAATTAAAAGCAATAATATTCCAAGTAGAGGTTCTAACAGTGGCACAAATCAAGTTACAGAGAGAAGGTAGTTCTTAAAATAAGAGGCTTATTGACTAGCACTTTGTCTATTGTAGTTTAAAGGTTAGGAAACACAAGATGTAGAGGCTCAACTATGTCATTTCTTGTTCTTAAGTCCTGGACCAAATTCCATCTACCATTGGGTTTTACAGCTTGGAAGTCCTCATGCAAGGCAGAGGTGAAGTAAGGAACTGCTTATGAGGTTTTCCATCAATTCCAACAATTAAGAAATAGTGAG